AAGACTATGATAGGGACAACAGTGGCGTCTGGGTGGAGCAAAGAGAAGTCATAAAGTGGGAGTATTGTCAGTAAGGGAAGGACCGGGACTCTAAAGAATGGAGGTTTAGCCAAGTCACAGGTGCAAGGTGCAGGGGATCAGGAGACCCAGAGAGCCAGGAAATAAGACAAGTACTACTATCTCAGGGTTCAGTCTACAAAGATGGCTCTCTCTCTCTCTTTGGATGTTCATCAACAAGAGCATGTCCATAGGAGAAACGTGAGACGTAGAACGATTACAAATCAATGACAAAAGGAATCCTATTTTGTCCAAGTTGATGGGAGAAACTTGGATGAAAATAAAGAATATGATCAGGGTTTCAAAATCTTTAGTAAATAAAGTACACGACCATCTATTAGTAATGTAGATGACAGAAACAACAGACACCAGCTCCCAAATATTTCTCTTCCAAGTTTATACACTGATGAGAAAACTTTACATTTTCAAAATATTGTACTACTTCTACATTTTAAAAAAAAAATTGGTAAAGTCTACTAAGTAACAGTTAAAAATACCCCTTTGACAATCAAATGAATGAAAATTTAATCAAAATTTGTAGAGCCACTTTTTGTACATGAAAATATTTGACTCAGTTCAATCTTGTGACAGGGTAAAGGTTTTCAAAGTATGAGGGCAGATGAAGGTGGATATTCATTTTACAAAAATTTTTAGATTCCTTTAAATAAGATCCTTTACATTTTATATGATGTGGTTTACATAATATGTTTTAAGAATAGATTTTTCATGAAACAAAGTATGCTCACGTGCTATGGTGTGAATATGAAGAGTCCTCCAAAGGTCCAAGTGTTAAAGGGGGTGGCTCCCAGGCACTACTGGTAGATACTGTGGACCTTTAAGAGGTGAGGCCTAGTGGGAAGTCTTTCAGTCTTTGGAGTGGTGCCCTCAAAGGGGATTGAGGAGTGCTGGCCCATCCTGTCTCTCTCTGCTTCCTAGCTTGTGATTTGAGCTGTATGCTCTGACCCCCACTCTCCACCATTGCCATACAGTTAGCTCACCAGCTGCCCAAGGTGATGAGGCCACTGATCTTGGACTGGAACCTCCAGAACTGGGCGCTAAAAAAATCCTTTATAAATTAATTGCCTCAGGGGGCTGGGGATGTGGCTCAAGTGGTAGCCTGCTCGCCTGGCATGCGTGGGGCGCTGGGTTCGATCTTCAGCACCACATAAAAAAAAAAAATTAAAATGTTGTATCCACCGAAAACTAAAAAATAAATATTAAAAAATTCTCTCCCTTTCTCTCTCTCTCTCTTAAAAAAAAAATTAATTGCCTCAGGTATTTCATCATAATAGCAGAAAGCTGACCAATACAGTACGTTAAATTATTTTGCCTTAACAGACCTACCAGTCCAAGAGCAAATGTAATCTGTACAATTCTTCCACATAATTTACTACTTCTTTGGTGATTCTGAGTTTCCTAATGGCTCAGCATGAAAACTGCTACTGTACTCAACAGGAAAATTCTTCAGCAAGTGCAATCAAAACCTTTCAAGAGACAAATCTGGAATTCTGCCCAGGTGGACTTATTTTCTGCATGTGGGGATGGTGTGCTGAGTGAATACATCTCTAATTGTAAATATGATATATTTTCCATTGGCCTCCAAAGGTTTTCAAGTATCCCTATTAGTAAAATAAGTGAATAAATCAAAATATGTATATACTTTAATAGATATATAAATGTATTCTTATTTAAACATTATATTTTATTAAAAATTTCTTAGATGGATAGTAAAATATAAATTTATGATCAATTATCCCCTATCCCCTGCTTCCCTAATGAGCTGTCTTGTGAACCATTCTGTTTGGATACTGCTTATAGAACTTCTAGAGAGACCAGAAGAAATTTTATTCATAAACAATGAGTTCAGGAACAAAACTATAAGACCACAAGGAAGAAAAATCTGCCAACAGCAAACGCTTCAGTGATGCAATGAGGTCAATCTGCAACTTGTAAATTACAAAGTTATTTACTGGTTTCTGTTAGGCTGAATCAAATTATAAAATAGGTCTAAATCTTAGAAAAGAATAAAGAAAAGGACCCATTTTGGTAGGTCACATACATTTAACCAACGAGTGAGTACCAGATGTTAGGTATACATAAAAACAGTCTATTCACTAATGATCTAGCATTAATTGCATGACCATTATGTACCTGGCAGTCCTCCAAGTAATAATTATATTTACATGTATTGTAACAAGATCTTTCTTTAGATATGAGAATTGCAGGTAATGAAGAATGAATTTCTAAATTATTTTAAGATGAATACCACATGAATAGGTTGGCACACATGCAAATTTAAAGTGAAATTCTTTTTAATTATCAATTCTGTCTTTTGCTAGAGTTAAGACTAAAATTTTTTCCAACAAATATAAACCCAGTTAGCATCTGGCACAACGACTAGCATGTAGTAAGCATTCGATACCTATTTGTTGGAGAAGTGAAGGGAAAGGGGAAAAGGAAGCGGTGAGACCCAGATAAAACAAAGAAGTCTGAGCCACAGAGAAAGGGACATCTCACTGTTCTGGAAGCATGGTTTGTAACTACTACCACTGTGCTTCTTGTGTCCTGGAAACCCCATCAAATGCGTGTGGTCCCGTCTGACAGCCTAATCTGTATTTAGAAACAGCATGTAATTCAGCACCCCGAGACTCAAAAGGAGAGTCAGATCTAACAGATACATGCCTCTGCATTTAAAAGTCTGTTAACTTTCAGGTTTATGATAAAATAAAAATTATTTTCTCTTACTATAAAAGTAAAACATGCGCTTTAAAGAAAATTTGTAAAATACATGAAAATAAAACTAACACATTACTATAATTCCACTTCCCAAAGAAAACCACTATTAACATTTTACATATTAAATTAGCTCAAAATTTTAAAACCCCTGTGGTGACTTTCTATAATTCCATGTGAGGCTCATAAGCAACAAAAGTGAAAGAACAAAAATGAAAACCCACAGTAGAGTAATTCCAGCCATGTTTAATGAGGCAAGATTCATGGCCTGAAAGTTTCCAAATTAAGCTATCATGATATTTTGATCCATAAGGAACAACACTTTGTTTTAGTTATCTCTGTTCTGCACCAACTGTGGTACCTAGCACATAATATTCACTCAGTAAATGTTCATTGAATAAACATCCTAAGAGAGTCAGCATGTTTTTCTTTTCAGAGTCTATGATCATACCGCGTCACTCCCCACCTCCTCCCCAGCAAAGCCATCCTGGCGTTCCCTGCCTTTACTTCAGCTTCAGCAACAGTCAGGAGCCTGCTGTAGCCCAAAAGCGACACTGTGATCCCCCCCCAGTAACACCAAGTTATGTTTCACTCACTCCTCACAATTCAGCTCAGATGTCATTCTCCTCAAGAAGTTTCCCCAACCCTTGTTGCCCATCCTTGGGCTGAGCTAAGTGCTATAATTCAAGTTCCCATAACACCTGCAAACAATGCAAGTGACACAGTGCATAAAACTAGCCACTAGAATGGTTGTTCATTTGCAGGCTGTCAGTTCTTGAAGTTTCTATCTTTATATTTACAAACACCTGCAAGGTTCCACAGTATTTACTGAACAAATGAGAGACTGAAAGAATGAACAAACAACTCCTTTTTTGTTCTACTTTTCATTTCTTTAATTTATTCCTATTTGTTTGGTTAGCTGTTCTCTCACATTCTTTAATCTTAAAAATGAATACCCACCATGTATTAAAGATAAATTAAAAATGAGAAGAATGCAACAACTGAGTTCAGCTTTCTCTTCAAGCCAAAAAGTATCCCTTTCTATCTTAAGATTAGCGCTCAGTAAACAGCGTCACCACTGTTTTCCCCAAAGTTCTCACAAAAGAATCAGGCATAACTGTCACACATTCCCACTCAATGCGTTATTTATATCTACTCTCCTTTCTCCCCAAGAAGACGCGAAGGAGACCCTGATGACTTGCTCTACTGATGCCATCAGATCTGCTCCTTTCCACTTCTAGAGCCTCTGTCTTTAACCTCTTCCCATCTAGTCTCCTGTTACATCAAAGGAATAATTTAGTATGCTCAAAACTGAGCTACATACATACAGTTAATTCCTATTTCCTACCATATAGGATTCAAATTATGCAGAATCTACATTCCTATTGTGGCTTGTAAAGCTACCCATTCCACAATCAGACCTACTAGTACTCTCTACCTTATTTCCTCTATTTAAGAAAATATATTTCCTTGTGTTTCAGGTATTCATTTCCCATTGAAGCCAGGGATATATTCCTGCTACGCAGCATAGAAAACTTGCAAATTTCTTCATTGCTTTCTTTGTGCATGCATTAGCATTTTCCCCATTCTCTTCGTTCCTCAGTTTGTCTTTGAAATCCCTATTTACCTCTCTCCTCTCTAACAAAGTCTGATTACCTCCAAGGCACAGGAATTGCTCCTTTACTATGTAACACTTTTGACATTTGAACTTTATCTGAACATCAATATTTTGGTCCTTACCTGTTTGTTTCTCTGCAAGTCTAAGCACTCTAAGAGATCTTCATATGTGTACTCTGAGATCATTGACAAGTGACAAGTTCCATTGCTCATATTTACTTATGGATCTCAGATGATGTCACCATATTGATATTCTTCACATTTAGAGCTCTATTTATGTCTTTCCTATGTCAAAGGATAATACCTTAATTTCTATTATAAAGTTTGAAAAATGTACTTGGACAATTTAACAAAAAGAAACAATAAAAAAGTACCAGAATAAATGCTTCTATATATTCTATATTGTCTCAAGGCTAGTAAAAATTATTTTTCTTGGAACATTACACGATGTTATTATTCAAAATACTATTGATTAAAGATGTTGGTATACATTCACTTTCAAATTATTTTTAAAAGAATAAATAAAAAATAGCAAATCTGTTTAAATATTAAGTGAATGAATAATACAAACTAGATTAATAATTACAACTCACAGGATCTGCAGGTCCACAGAATTCTCGAAATGTCTTCGTAGAATTATTCTGTTGAATCTCCATTGCTACGCAAGGGCCAGAATACAATTCTGTCACCATCTCCTGTGATATACAATATAAAAGAATCAATACAATTTGATGATATTTTACCCCTTCTCTTTTAATTGTGCCACTATTCCACTAATTCTTCAGAGTTAAAAGTTACCTTTGGCTTCTTTTCCTATCTGTATCACACACACTAGTAGTTCCTATCTCCTTGAACCCAGTGCTGACAAATTCACATATAAAAACAAAATGTTTCTCCTGAAGAAGCTTTTAAAAACCATAATGCATTCCAGCAACAAGGAATAACAGGGGCCAGATTTATTTTCCCACCTTATATTTCTAGAAACTAGACAAAATATATGAAACAACAGTTTTCAGATTCTGGACAACAGGCACCATAGACCACAGTCCTCAGGAGAAGGGAAACAATAAAGTAAGACACACAGTTGCCCCACTGCAAATGTTATTAAAACAAAAACAAACAAAAAGCACTGGATGGGGTGACTAGGATAAGACACTGCTAACGAACAATGAATCTGAAGACAGGGAACAGAAACTGTTCAAAAGCAAGCATGAAAATAAACAGCAGCACATCTGTCAATCTAAATTCTCAAAAACAAAGGAAAAATAAAGACTTTTCCAGAAAAAGAAGAGCTGGGAGATTCACCACCAATAGCCTTTTACTATAAGAAATGTTAAAGGAAGTTCTTCAGGAAGAAGGGAAAAAATGCCAGACAAAAATGGAGATCTACACAAAACTCTACTAACCTTGTGGGTGAATATAAACACATTGTCTTTTTTTTTTTTTAGTTGCTTAAGAAGATAATCATTTAAAGCAAAAAATATTAAGAGTGTACTGTAAGAAGTAAAATGTACTAGCACAGCAGCACAAGGAGGGAAACACAGGTACACTGATTAGCACTTCAATTCTGCACATGAAACAGCACATGAAATACACAATCACGGGTGGCCTCACAGATCTGGAACACCCAGTGAATCTTCCCTCCCCCTCAGTATACTGCAGGTAAAAGGGAAACAAACATGAGATGGAGGCAGAACAACAGTGTGGATATATGAAGATCAAAAGTATCAGGAAGGAGAGAGACCCAGGAGGGAAATGAGAGGAGGTCAGACCACGCAGGCCATGTGAGACATTTTGATGATACTGGAGGGTTTATGATGCAAATGCCATAATTTTATTCCCTTTTAATGCTGAGTAATATTCCATTGTGTATAAATACCACAGTTTTTTTTTTATCCATTCATCTATTGAAGGGCATTTAGTTTGGTTCCACAGATTAGCTATTGTGAACTGAGCTGCTATAAACATTGATGTACCTGTGTCCTACAGTATGCACATTTTAGTTCTTTGGATTTATGTCAAGTTGTTGTATAGCTGGGTCATATCACCATTCCTAGTCTTTTGAGGAATATCCCTACTGCTTTCCAAAGTAATTGGACTAAACTGTAGTCCCACCAACAATGTGTATCTTTCCCCTCACATCCTTGTCAGCATTTATTGTTATTTTTATTCTTGATGACTGTGGAGTAAGATGAAATCTCAGTGTAGTTTTGGTTTGCATTTCCCTGATGGCTAAAGACATTGAACATTTTAAAAATATATTTGTGGGCCATTTGTACTTCTTCTTCTGAGAAATATCTGTTTAGTTCATTTGCCCATTTACTGATTGTGTTATTTGGGGTTTTGGTGTTAAGTTTTTTGAGTTCTCCATATATTCTGAATATTAATCCCCTGTTAGAAAAGTAACTGGCAAAGATTTTCCCCATTCTATAGGCTTTCCCTTCATGCTCTTGTTTCATTTGCTGTGCCATCCTATCTGTTGAATCTGGTTTTATTTCTTTAGCTTTGGAGTCTTATTAAGGAAGTCAATGCCTGTGCCAATATGTCAGAGTATTGAGCCTACTTTTTTTTTTTTTTTTTTTATAAGTTACAGTGCTCCTGATTGAATTCTTAGGTCTTTGATCTACTAGGAGTTGACTTTTGTGCATGGTGAGAGATAGGAATCTAATTTAATTCTTCTACATATGGTATCCAACTTCCCTAGCACCGTTTTGTTAAAAAGGGTTTCTTTTCTCTTATGTTAATGGCACCTTTGTCAAGTACCAGATGACTGTATCTGTATGGGTTTGTATCTGTCTCTTCGACCCTATTCCATTGTCTTCATGTCTGCTTTTTATGTCAATACTATGCTGTTTTTTATAGTTTGTGTAGTATTATTTGAGAACAGATATTGTGATGCCTCCAGCATCCCTCTTATTGCTTGATATTGCTTTGGCTATTTTGAGTCTTTTATTCTTCCAGATGAATTTAGGACTACTTTTTTCTAATTGTATGAAGAATGTCATTGGTATTTTGATAGTGATTATATTGAGTCTGTATTGCTTTTGGTAGTATGGCCATTTTAACAATATTAATTCTATGTATCCACAAACATGAGAGGTCTTTCCATCTTCTAAGGTCTTCTTCAATTTCTCTCTTCAATGTTCTATAATTTTCATTGTAGAGGCCTTTCACCTCCTTAGATTTATTCCCAATTATTTTATATTTTTAGGATACTATAAATTAAATTGTTCTCCTGATTTTTTTTTCTCAGTAGATTCATTATTGGAATAGAAAAGCTATTTTTTAAAAAATTTTGGATAGCAGGGTCATATAGAAAAGCTATTTTTTAAAATTTTTGATCTTGTATCCTGCTACTTTGCTGAACTAGAAGTCTTATAGATATAGGACCATATCATTAGCAAACAGAGGTAGTTTGACTTATTTTCCTTTTTGTAACACTACAAATTTCCTTCTCTTACCTGACTGCTCTGGATAAAGTTTCAAGAACTATATTGCACAGGAGTGGTGAGAGGAGAGATCCTTGTCTTGTTCCTGATTTTAGATGAAATGGTTTCAGTTTTTCTTTGTTCAGTATGATAATGACCTTGGGCTTGTCATCTATAGCCTTTATAATGTTGAGGTAAATTCCTTCTCTCCCTAGTTTCTTCAGCATTTTTAACTAAACGGGGTTTGTTATCATTAATCTTTTCAATAATAGCCATTGTAACAAACAGGAGGTGATATCTCATTGCAGCTTTTGATTTGCATTTCCTTGATGATCAGAAATGTTAAACATTTTTTCATACATCTGTTGGCCAGTCACATTTCTTCTTTTGAGAAATATCTGTTTAGATTCTTTGTCCATTTTTAATTTAGGTGTTTTATTTTCTAACTACAGAGTTGTTGCTTGAGTCCCTGATATATTTTGAATATTAGCCCTTCTCATATGTATAGTATGCAAATCATAATTTAAGAAATACTTTCAAGGATTATAAATTATACTGAGATCCCCAAGATTTGAGACATCCAAATGGTTTTGCTTTAAATTTACTTCAATACTTACATTATATTCTGTCACTACACCTTTATAAACTTCATAGAATTCTTCAACATTAACACGATCCATATTGAACTATATTAAAAAATAAAATAAAACTGTAAGCCCACAAACCAAAGAAAAATAAATGTGCCATTCTTGGCACTCACCATATATTATCCCTTAGATATATTCTTTACTTCAAAATGCAAATTTTTTTGTTTCCTTTTAAATTTGTTTTTATTTATTTGTTTTTAATTGCTTTTGGTTATATACAACACAGGAAACAACCTGACATAATCACAAAAGCAAGGGGCTCGACCTGCTCCAGTTCAGCACTCCCCCACCCCGCCTCCTCTACCTCCCCTCCACTGATCCCTCTTCAATCCTTACTCTTTTTCCCCCTAGGCCCAGCACTGCTGCTATCAGAGATAACATTCATACTTTTTTTCTTTAATTAGAGCTTTATCGTTATACACAGTAGTCAGGTTCATCCTGAGTAATCCATACATGCATGGAAATTGATTTCAGTTCCTGACCCTTTCCCTTTTCCCTCCCATCCTTCCTCCCCTCTCCCATTCTCCTTCCTCTACTCTATTAGACTTCTTTTCATATGTCTATTAATTTATATTTAATTAGTTCTTTATGTTAGCCTATCCTTCCCTCCTCCTTTTCAAAAATGAAAGAAAACATTTGATCTTTGAGTTTCTGAGTTTGGCTAATTTCACTTAGCATGATATTCTCCATCAAAATGTGAATCTTGAATAATTTCCTCTTTTGTAAAAATGTGCTATTAATTTATAACCTTTGAGTACTTAATATGTCATGCATTATCTAATTTAATTCTCACAATTTTATGGCACAGCTAGATAAGATAAGGCTACTAAGAGTCAGAAGAGCAATGAACCCTTCCCAGATTGCCATTCTGTTCCCAGCAGTCTGATCCCACTGGACATGTTCTTATCTGCTACCCTATACCTATCTGAATAAAACCTCATTCTTGATAAAAAGAACTTATGCAATGTAATATTATTTGTTGATAGATTAGAGGTATAAGAAAGAAATATTACTAAAGAAATGTAATTAGATTTTGTAGAGGGAATGAAAAACAGTATTGTTTTTCTCCAAAGAATTCAGAGAAATTCCTAGTCAGGTTTCTAACAAAGCACTTACAAACATCATCTGGACTTGCTACTTCCTTTCATAACATTATGAATAAGAATATGTTTAAGGTCAGTCCATAACAAGTCATTCCTATGCAGGCTGGACTTAAAAGTAGCTAGTAGTAAAACTTTACACTTCAGATCTCAAGAACTAAAACCCTAATATTTTAAAAATTGCCTCTGAATTTTCATTTTATTTTTCCCCCTTACATTGTTTCTCCATTGTTGCCAAGATTAAAGATTACTGAGAAATTTCTTCCTACAGAGACAATACTTCAAGTTGAAAGGATTTATCATCATAGGCAACATTTATTACAGGAAGAGAATTATTTGATATCAATGTTTTATCTTACATTCACACAACTTTTATTAATGTAATGCAATAATAAGAGAAGATATAACCTGTTAAATACTCAGGAATTTGATCTATAAACTCTACAAGGTACTGTGTACAGCTATTTAATTTAATTTTCAGAATAATCCATTCAGACAATTAATGTTTTTAACACCCAGATGAGAAAAGCTAGGGACAGAATGCTTGACCTGTGGTCAGTGTCACATACCTAGAAAGCAGCTGAACTCAGATTCACAAATAGATCTTTCTGGTTCCAAAAGTCAAAGACTGCACTTACCACTACACTCCCAGGCCTCCATCATAAGTTCAACTAATACTTTTTGTCTTGCTATTATTTTCATTAAGTACTATGGCCAATCACTGTGCTCGGTTGTGGGCCTCGAGCTAGGTCAATGTTTAAAGCTAAAATTCCTATAGTTATTATTTTTTAGAGTAGGCGTAGATCCTATAATCACTTAATACATCAACAAGCAACACTTTAGAAAGTTTTGGCTAAGACTTCTTAACACTCCTAGATAAGATTTCATAATTATTCATCTTCTCATTAGTTTCTAAGTTTTGATTGATGATTTTACAAACTAGTTGATAATTTTTCTTTAAAAAAACTTTTTTATTATAAGGTTACTGAGTTCAGAAAACATTTTCTTTTTAATGCACTGAGTTTAAAAGTGCTCAGAGAGCATTCAATTAAAAAATGTTAAAGATTAGGGGTAGGGGTTTTAGAGTGCTTGCCTAGCATGTGTGAGGCACTGGGTTTGATTCTTAGCACCACAAATAAATAAGTAAATAAAATAAAGGTCCTTCAACAACTAAAAAATTTTTTAAATATTGAAGATTATTTTTTTAATCCTCAATATGTTATGGCTTACTTCAAAGTACCTACCATTTGAATAGCTGAGATTTCAAAACACGCATCTCGAATAGCCATCAGGATCTTTCCCAACAGTCCTGAAAATGAAGAACAAATAGATGCAAAAAAAAAAAGTAAAGCATTTTAGTTTTTCGGAAATACAAATTTTCCATATCAACATATTTTGCTTATATTCTACATAATGAAAACACATATTTTTACCACAAAACTAAATCTGTAATACTTAGCATTACATTTAATTATTTGATTCCCCAAGAAAATGTTTCAAGAATATCAACAATGGTCCTAGGATTATGCAAAAAAAAAATATTTTTAAGATACTATTTTGCCTTTAAGGCCCCAAAAGTCTAGTGCTATATAGAACATGAAAATCAAATGGTTTAAAATTACATTACAAAAAACCAAAATGCCAAAATATTGGATACAGAAGGAAACCAAAGATGTGTTCAAAGGAAGAGAAAAAATTAAATTATCACTGAAAAGGTGAGCAGAGACTTCAAGGAAATAATAGCATGAATGGCCCTTAAAGGGTATAGACGATGGGCCTCTACAGCCAGAGAAAGCATCCAGGCAAGTGTGGGCATGTTATTGTCACAGTAAGAATGTAGAAAAGAAAGACAAGGCAGGAAAGGGAGGGGACTGAGCCAGGGCGATAAGGCCTTTATCTCACAGACTAGTGATTTCTATGATGGGATCTGTAGACTCTAGGGGCATGGGAATGATTTTAAGATTCTATTTGTTTCCTATACAATCTTCTAAGTTTCTTATTTTCAAGTTGACTAAAACTCTTTTTGTCCTTTTCACCCTGCCCCCCACCCTCATCACACACACATACACACACACACTCACCCCACGTTCTGGTCATCTGGATGCTCACCTAGAAGCCCTGATCACCAGGTGGTACTGGTGTCTCAATGCGGGTTTTAGTTACTACCTTATTGTAGCCAAGTAGCGCCATTTCAATTATAGCAGACTAAGGGATGAGAAAAAGACAGAGGTGGATCTATTTCTTAAATGAAGGGAAGGGAAGGCCAAATGGTACCACAGCATGCTGATGTCTGAATACAGAAAAGCAGTTGAGTCATCACTGAGAACAGGCCCATGACTACCTCTGTACTGTATTCATGTTGAACTGTTGATAAATACCCTTTGTTACATAAGGGTATTAACTTAAACATTCTTCATTTTATAGTTTGTAATGAACTTTTAAATTAGTTATATATCTATTTGTGCAAAAGTTTATATGCTTAGTTTTATGTTTAGCCATATCTAATTTGCATTATCAAAAATTAGACTAATTTGTCAACATTAAGAGTTCATGAGAGTGACTTTTCTCCAAAATGATATATTACCAAAAGAAATGGGGAGTAACTGAAAATATTAGGTGTATAATTCAAAATAAAGCAGTATTTTTAGAAGATTGTTAATGTAATAGTGACAGGCAAGCTGATCTGACTAAAAAAGAATAAGGGATATAAGGAACAGTAAAAGCTTTTGTGTTAGTCAGCTTTTTGCTGCCAGGACCAAAATATCCTGAAAGAACAACTTATAAGAGGAAAGGTGATTTCAGTTCATGGTTTCAGAGGTTTAATCCACAGTTGGCTGAGTCCACTGTTCTGGGTCAAAGGTGAGGCAGAACATCATGGCAGTGGGAAGCTGCTCCATTCATGGTGGCCAGGAACCAAAGAGAGGAAAGAGTCCACAGAAGGTGAACCCTTCCAGGGCACATTCTAGTGACCCACCTCCTCCAGCCATGCCCCACCTGCCTAAAGTTACCACCCACTCAGTCCATTCAAACTAGGGTTGACTGATTAGGTTATAATACTCATAATCTAATAATTTTACATCTGATATTCCTGCATTAACACAGGAGCTTTTGAAAAACAACTCAGATCAAAACTATGGAACTTTTGAATTCATAGTATGCTGATTGGGAAAACAATAAAAGCCAAGATATTTTTAAATATTTTCTCTTATTTTAGACTCCAGTGTTTAGATGGCAGCAGTCAAAAAGGAAGTGAATAGGGTTGGGGATATAGCTCAATTGGTAGAGTGCCTCCTTTGCATGCACAAGGCCCTGGTTCAATCCCCAGCACCACATACACACACACACACACACACACACACAAAAGAAGTTAATAGAAGCCATTTTTCAAACAAGAAGTAACAGCAGCACTGAACTTCATAGAGTGTGAAGTTGAAAAAAGGGTTAAAAATTACTTCAGGATTTTGAGTCCAGTGCTGGGGTATAGCTTCGAGGTAGAGTACTTGCCTAGCATATTTAATTAAGGCCCTTAGTTCAATCCCCAGCACCACAAAACTAAATAAAAGATCTTGAATCTAAGAGACTGGAAGACTATTAGCACCTTTAAGAAGAAAACTAGTAATTCAGCCAAATTAGTCAAGGAAAAACAGTGAATTTAAAATTTTAGATAGAAACACAAGGTGCGCTATACAAGCAGTTACAGAGCAGAAACCTGACCAACAGCTGAAAGATTGAATAAACTCCATACAGAAAACTGGTGACGTGGGACTGCATCCCAGTACGGTTAGAGAGAGCATGAAGGATGCAGGTAGTTTAGAGTTGCAATGATGAGAACATATAGGGAACAACTATTTTAGCAACTAGTGACTTCTTATTAGAAACAATGCAGACCAGTATACAATTGAATTTTTAAATGTGCTAATAGGAAGAAAAGCTTAAAACTGTCAACTTGAAATTCTATGTCACTATAAAATCTTCCAAGAATGATAGTAAAATAAAGACCTTTTCAGATAAAGAAAGCCAAAGATATTTGTTACCAGCAAACCTGAGTATAAGAAATGCTAAAGGAAGTTATTTCAACTTTAGGGAAAAGAGAAGAAAACAGAATCTTCAGGAAAAAATAATGGTATAAAGGTTAGCATGTGAATAGTACAAAAAAAAAACATTATTTTTTTCTCTTAATTTCTTGAAAAAATATATGCCTGATTAAAGTAAAACTTCAACATTAATTGTGGATTTCAAAACCTACGTATTTATAATACACATCAAAAGTACAGCATAAGCCTATGTAGAGAGGTAGTAAGTGGACCCATACAACTAAAAAGTTCCTTTACTATAAGTAAAGTCATAACATTATTAACTCTGAGTGTGAAAACTAAGGATATACATTGTATTCCTTAATGATTATATAAGAATAATCCCCACACCAGCATCATCAACATCATTTTGTGATTCTGTACCACACTAAAGCTTGAAAACCACAGCCACAGGAAGGAAGGAAGGAAGGAAGGAAGGAAGGAAGGAAGGAAGGAAGGAAGGAAGGAAGGAAGGAAGGAGGGAAGAGGGGGGAGGGGAGGGAGGGAGGGAAGGTGTTATGGTTTAGATCTAGAAATGTCTCCCAAAGCTCATGCTTTGAAAGCATGGTTCCCAATGTTAGAAGGTTCAGAGTGGGGCTTTTAGGCAGTGATGAGAGGTGAAATCTCATCAGTGGATTAGTCCATTTGACTATTTGTGTTAGAGTCTGTAAACAAGTCAGGATGGCGCCTGGCAAATGTTAGAGTCTGTAAACAAGTCTGGATGGCGCCTGGCATTTTGCCAGAGGGAGTGGTTTGTGAAGTAACGCCAGGGAGCCATTAAGTGTGGAGATTCCTTATTGGTTGACTGCTGTATCTAGTTTATGTTAATTAAGATAAGCTGTGTGGAATGTATAAATACCTCTGTTGTCCTACAATAAAGGGCTCTCACTCCTGCTGTATTAATGTACACAAGTTGTTCGTCACACCGCCCCACCCCCCTTATTTTGCTGCTGCAGCCGTACTCCGGCAATTTGAATGGACTACTACATGGTAATTGGCAAAGTCACTGGGGGCACGCCTGGGGGGTTATATCTTATATCCGGTTTCTCAGGCTCTCTCTGCTTCCTGGCTGCCGTGAACTGAGCAGGTCTTCTCTGCCATGTTCTGCCTCACCTCTGGCCCAGAGCAATGGAGTGGACAGCCATGGACTGAATGTCTGAAGCCATAAGCCCAAATAAACCTTCCCTCCTAAAAGTTGTTCTGGTCAGATACTCTGGTCACAGCAATAAAAATCCAACTAATACAATTATGAAAATAGCTTTAACCTCAGAGATTCCTAAAAGGTCTGCTGGCCCCAGAGCCTGAAATTATGTTATATAATGGAATAATCAAAATATTTAATTGGCTCATAAATGTCATTCAGTTAAGTCATTAAATCTATGTATATTAAAATAGGCATAGATTTATATGGGTATACATACATTGTGAAATTTATCTGTTTAGATCTTCTGAATATATAGCATAAAACCCATAAGAGAATAATATAGAATGCATATATAGTAAATTTTGAATCAGATTATCATCACCCCTAGTTTATTGATTATTCAGAATTGAAGATTTCCTTCATTAATCACTTTGATGTTTATCAGATTTGACAGGGCAGAGGAAAAAATCATCATTGACTATATATTAACATTTTAAGAAAATGTTTTATAGAGAGAACAACATTAAGAGAAAATTTAACAAGTTAGATGAATAATATTTTTTAAAATTAAAAATATATAAAAAATTGGTTTGTATAGCTAATAATCTAAGAGTTTTGTATTTCCAAAAGTGTCTACATCAAAATCTATGTGAATTAACATAATCTGATGTCAAAGTCTTGCCTGGAATCTTGAGATTTTCTTTGTGTCATACTATACCCTACAGTTACCTGCAAAACCTCAAAGCAAACCTGCAGCCAATGAATACACCCACATACTGTGGGGAAAGACCAAAAAACACCTTAATCATCAGTGTTCACCTTCTCCTTGCAACAGCAGGGTATAGATGACAACAAAACCCTATTCACAAGCCCATGAAAATCACGCTTTGATGAGCAAAACAGTTTATAAAACTGAAATTTACAGAAGCAGCCAGGCTACTGTACAGGCAATTCACCCTGACCTGAGGCTTCACTCCACAATCCAGATAATGAACAGGAATGAAGTGAAAATGAAGGATGGGAAGAAGCAAAAAGATTTCTACAGAAAAAATTTCAATTGTATATGTGCAAGAACTTGTGAAAAGAAGTTTT